GTGGGGCCATGAGAATTTTGGTGCAATACCAAGGGTCAACAAGACAAGGAGGGGAGAGCAGAGGTCAACAGAAGATTCCATAGACCCTGACCAGGCTGGTTCTTCCAACTCTCTGTAGCTCTGAACGATCCCACCTCTTTTTTCCTTTTCAAGTTAAGTGTCTTATTGAAACCTTTATATTGCGATACAACCACCTAAAGTTGTTTATAGTTAACTTAATTTCAATGAACAAAATATCATACCCTGTTCCACCCACCATGATTCCAGAGGACTTGTGATGGCCCCCTACCTTCTGGTAGAGAGGTGATCGATTCAGGGTACAGACTGAGACATATTTTTAAGCATATGGTCAATGTGGGAATTTATTTTGCTTGGCTATTCATTTTTTTAAACAAGGATTTTGTTTTTCTTCCTCAAGTGGAGGTAGGGCTATGAGCTCATTAGATTGTGAGATTCTTGAGGGAAACTGTCTTCTTTTCTCATTAATTGTTTCCCCAGTTCTTAGGACAGTGCCAGGAACATAGCAGATGCTTAATAAATGTTTATTGGATTGGATTGGATTGGACATAGGAGAGGGAAAAAATAGTTTTTGTTCATTGAAAAAAATTAATTTAATTTTTAAAAGGAAATAAATGCTTATTAGTCAGGGGAAAGTAATTTAATTAAATTGGGGGGAAGAAGAATTCCACTGTGTGACCATCATTTTGTTTTTCTTTGCGTATTTCTTATTCTTGGGAATAATGGAAAGACATTTGGTTAATTTGTATGATGAGGAATTTGCAGGAAATGGGGGAGGGGGAAAAGTAAATGAGGGGTTCCAGATTAGAAAGGCAGCGGTGGCTCCTCCCCAAGTCTGGCATGGAGCCAGGGCTCTGTGGCTACAGGCTGGCTGATTGATTCTGGGGATCAGAGCTGCTCATGTTCCACGATTAGCATAAAGGCTGCTCGGCTGCTTAGCTCAGGCCACAGCTGCTCCGAGGGAGCTTTCCCTCCTCCCTCGGTACTGCCCCTTCCTCACCAGCTTCCCCCTCCCACCTTCACCCCCTCCTCTCTGGGGATGTTTTCGGACAGCCTGCACCCTGGCCTGAAGAAGCCACCCCAGGGAGGATGCTGCAGGGATTTGGGCCCCATGGCTGTTTATTAACTCGGTGCTGATCCAGTCCAGGGCAGCCCTAGGCAAAATTCCAACAGCAAAGCTCAGTGTGCAACATGGAAATGAACTCTGGAGAGTTCATTTTTTTTTTTGGTGGGGTGGCAGGATGGGGTGTGTGTGTGTGTGTGTGTGTGTGTGTGTGTGTGTGATGAATGCCAGGAGACTGGTTGGCAGGAGCAGGGCAGAATCCTGGCAAGCTCAGATTGTGGAAGCTGGGTTTTCATTGCCCCTTACCCACTCGACAGGCCAGGAGCTGTTCCCTCCAGGGCAGTTGAGCCTGGCATCCCTCCCCAAGCGCCCAAAGCCTGTCTGTCCTCAGGCAGCAGAGACTGGCTCCTCTCCTCCCCAGCACTCTTGCCACTAAACCTACATCTGGAAGGCAGATCTCCCTCTCTGGGTCCGTCACCCACCCAAGGCCCCTCTTTCAGTCCAGTGGAGCCAACCAGGGCTCCTGATTAGGTAACTCTCACTCTACCCCGTATGCCCTATGCCCAGGCTCATGGGATACCAGAGATGGAGGAATGAACTAGGTCCGGTTCAGGGAAGAGTCTGAGAGAGCTGAAAGGGAAGGACCATTTACCTTGAAGAGATATGTAAAGTGCTTCGCATGCTTTTAAGTGTTAAGAGCAAGCCCCTTTTCTTGCTTCACACAGTTCCCAGAGAGATCTTGGCTCTCTGCCTTCTTGAAATCTTTTATGAAATCTGGGCTGGCTATCTGTTCCAAAGGCTATAGGACCATAGTGTTATCCTACCTGTTGTCTTAGGGCCTCTAGGTGGAGCCATATTGGGTAAAGTGTGGGGCCTGGAGTTGGACTCGTCTTCCTAAATTCAAAACCTGCCTTCAGACACCTCCTAGATCTGTGACTCTGGGCAAGTCATTTAACCCTGTTTGCCTCAGTTTCCTCATCTGTAAAATTAACTGAGAAGGAAATGTCAAACCACTCCAGTGTCTTTGCCAGGAAAACTCCAAATGGGGTCATAGAGAGTCAGCCATGACTGAAAAATGACTGAACAACAGCCTGCTGTCTCAGCAGTGATATCTATACATCGTAATTTGAGGACTCTGAATTCTACCCAAGCTGTTCCCATAGAACCACAGAATTGGATCATCAAAAAGGTTCTTCTCAGCAGCCATACATGAAGGAGCAATAATATGTTGGGTGCTTGGGGAGCTTTGGGGCCATGGCTTAATGGCTATGCTCAGTGTACTTACCTAAGGGTCTAAGGAACACCCAGCACCCACCAGGTTCTCAGAGGGTCTTTCCCAAGGAGTGGGTTTTGGTACAGCACAACCATTATCTCCTTCCATCACATCACTGCTGAACTTGGAACCAGGAAGAATTGAGTTCAAATCCTGCCTCACTTTGTTTGCCATGTGACCCTGGACAAGTCACTTCCCCTGTCTGTCTCAGTTTCCTCAACTATAAAATGGAGGAGGTAATAATGGCACCTACCTAGCAGTGTTGTGACAATCAAACGAGGCAATATTTGTAAAGAGCTTAGCACCCTGCCTGGCACCCAATAAATGCTTCTTTCCTCCCAGAGTTCTTGTGGTGTTTGTCTGAGCTCTCCACATCCTTTGTCCTTGGTGCCCTGTCCCCTAGTCCCCACACCTGGGATTGGTTGTCTGGGTTGGCATCCTCAAGAGGCTTGTCCTTACCTGCAGACCCCTCTGAGCTGCTTGTGAGGGATAAAGTTGGGCTCAGCTGCCCAGGACTGACCACTTCCCTTTGCTGGTGCTTGTGAGTGGGTGAGCTCAACAGTCCTTTGAGTAAAGAAGCAATTAATGAACAGCTATTAAGCACCTTCTATGAGCCAGGCACTGTGCTAAGCCCTGGGGTTACAGAAAGAGGCAAAAGATAGCCCCTGCCCTCAAGGAGCTTGCAATCTAGCGGGGAAATAGTATGCCAACAAATATATACAAAACAGGCTATATATAGGATGAATAGGAAATCATTAACAGAAGGAAGGCACTAGAATTAAGAGGCATTAGAGAAGGCTTTCAGTAAAAGGTAGGATTTTAGTTAGGATTTCAAAGAAGCCAAGGAAATCAGCAGATGGACTTGAGTGTATTCAGACATTTGACTGGTGAATAGGCTCAGGCATCTGTTGTTATCTGTGGCAGACTTGGGCCAGGGGTCCAGCAGCCCCCACACTTCTCTTGTGCTCCGGTTGGGGCTCATGGGGAGCACTCCCAGGATGAGTCCAGTCCCCCACTAGAGGAAATGGAGCCCCTCCACTCTTTGGGGGCTGGAACTTTTCCTCAGCCCATCCATCTGGAGGAGTTTCTTGGCCACACTAATGCAAGGCAGATCTGTAAGTCAGCATTTATTAAATGCTTCCTATGGGCCAGGCATGATGCTAAGTGCTAGAGATACAAAGAAAGGCAAAAAGGATCTGGACCTTGAAGGAGCTCACATTCTAATGGCTTAGCCTGGTACATTGTTGTTGTTCAGTCATTTTTCAGTCCTGTACTACTCTTCATGACCTCATTTGGGGTTTTCTTGGCAGAGATACTAGCATGGTTTGCCATTTCCTTCTCCAGATCATTTTACAGATGAGGAAACTGAGGCAAATAGGGTTAAGTGACTTGCCCAGGGTCACCCAGCTAGTAAGTGTCTGAGGCCAGATTTGTACTCGGGAAAATGAGTCTTCCTGACCTCCCCCTGGCACTCTATGCACAATGGTGCCACCTAGATGCCCAGTCTGGCACATAGTAGGTGCTTAATAAATGTTGACTGATTGATTGGTTAATTGGGGATGAGGTGTGGAGGAACAACATGAAAAAATATACATAAAAGATATACTTTTTTGAAATAAGATAGTGGTTCTTAGCCTTTTCTGGGTCATGGACCCCTCTCTTGTCAGTCTGGTGAAACCTGTGGACCCTTTCTCAGAATTATGGTTTCAAATGTACAAAATAAAAACATAGGATCAAACAGGAAATCAATGATTATTAAAGAATGTTCAGAGATGTAAAAACAAAAGATATTGATGACATTTCAAAAAACGTATATACTATATAAATGGAAAGTAATCTCAGAAGGGGATTGGGGAGCCAGGAAAGGCCTCCTGCTGAAGATGGGATTTGAGGAAATAACGAACAGAAGGAAGGCTCTAGAATGATGAAGGGTTGGGGAAGGCAACCTTCTTGGAGGAGAAAAGAAGGTAAGTGAGAAGATAGCCAAGGTGACTGGGCACTCCAAATCCTCAGGGTTGGTTTATCCCATTTCTACCCTCAAGCAGGACTTGGGGCATGAGCTGGGGATCCTTCTTTAGCCTCTGAACAACACCCACTGGGAAGGTGATTTCTCTAAACCCCCAGATGCCAGCCACATAGGACACTTTTGGGCTAACCACCGAGAATTCCTCCTACTTAGGGTAGCTGAGTGCCCTTTGAGAGGCCCGGACCCTGGTGTCAGAGGCAATGACAGTGACCTTCAGTCCAGCTGGGCTGGGCAGAGGCTTCTGCAGCAATGGCCCCCTGGCCCATAGCTGGGTCTTGGAGTGTCTCTTCCTGGGTTGTGCCTTCCAGGAGACACAGATCAGGGCTGAGAGTCCTGGGATGCCCCAAACATCCCTACAACCAGTCAATCAGCTGATCCCATCCTGCCCCTACTGCCTTTGCATGGTTCTTTCTTCAACTTACAAGTAAACCCAACCAGTGCTGAGTTGCATCATGTGAAGGAAATGACTTCTGATAATTAATCTTATCCCTACCAAGGGTGTGGTTCATTCTTCACCATCAGCTTTCCTATTCAGAGGCCTCTTCTTTGCTCACATCCCCAAGAGGAGAAGGCACAAAACACTTTGGTCCTCTCTACCTGGATCTATCACTGCGTGGATCATGCAGAGTCTCTTGGCTCTGCTGCTGGGGGCCCTGAGCTATGTTGGTGAGTGAGAGATGAGAGAGGGTGACTAATGAGGAGTCCTGAGCATTTATAGGCAGGAAAACAGAAGGAAGAGGAGTAGTTAGAGGACTGGGCTGAGGGTAAGGATGAGGTAGATGAGATGGTTCACTCCCCGGGCCAGATGGGAAATTTCATTTATGTCTTGTTCTGGGTTCTCCCTTCCAAAGACACAGGAGTCCTTCCTCCAAGCCAGTAATTCTGTCCCAGACCTTCACTTCTCACACCCTGGTCCCCCTCTAAGGCCTAGAAGGTGTGGTACCCCAGGACAAGGAGCTCAGCCCTTGCCCTCTGATTTACTGGATTCTCCTGGAAGCAAGGGATGAAGGACATTGGAACTCTCTGTTTGGCTCAATCCACAACCAAAAGTCTCTTTGTCTCTCTAGGTCCTAAGTCATCATATGAGGTCACTCAGCCTCCTGAACTCTCAGGCCCTCTCCATGACCCTGTCAACATCACCTTTACATTCTCCTTCCTCTGGAAGTTGAAGCAGAAGTCCAACACGAGGATTTCCAGGACCCAGGAACAACTATTTGAGCAAGTAATCTACAACTCTAGCTTCGCACACCACCCACTTTTCTGGGGCCAGCTCTCCCTCACCTGGACGTCTGAAGAGCAGAATGGCTTCCTTCTCATCCAGGACCTGAGGAAGGAGGATGAATGTCAGTATTATTGCACATTCTGGGTTTCCACAAAGCACCATGGAGTTAAGAACGTATCAAGCTTCTGTGGGACCAAAGTCAAGATTACTGAGGGTGAGTCTCTTTTCTGTGCTCCCCCTCTGAGGAGTGATTAATCCTTTCAATTCCCCCAAGACCCAACTCTCAGCCTGGGTAATAAAAGATTAGAGGAGATTAGAGACTCCTTCACCTCTGCTTTCTGATGCATGGAACCCCTGAAAAGAGATAGGAAGGCAGGTAGGAGATGGCCCACGGGTATGCTACCAGCTCATGCCAGTTCTTGAGAGCTGGCTGTTAAATTTTCAGTGTGAGCATTTCCATCTTGGAAATTTGGCAGACTACAAATCAGGGCCTGATATCTTGTTTTGTTGGTTATGCAACTTTAAAAAGTAATGGAGAAAGCATTAATAATGCAGATTAAATTTACAATGTAAACTTTCCCACCCAAGAGCTGGTTGGTTTTTTAAAAAATATTTTTAACCATTCATTTTTTTAAAATTTCAAGTTCTAAATTTATCCCTGCCTCCATTCATTGAGAAGGCAAGCAATATAATAACCGCCATACATGTGAAATTATGTAAAACATATTTCCATATTAGCCATGTTGGGGGAGAACAAGAAAAACAAAGAAAGTGAAAAACAATATGTTTCAATCTCTGCTCAGACTCTATCAGTTCTCTCCGGAGATGGATAGTGTTTTTCATCATGTGCCCTTTGGAATTATCTTAGATCATTGTCTTGTCTTGATCAGAGTAGCCAAGTCTTTCATAGTTGATCATTGTACTGTAGCTGTTACTCTGTACAATGCTCCCCTGGTTCTACTCACTTCACTTTGCATCAGTTCATATAAGTCTTCCCAGGTTTTTCTGAAGCCATCCTGCTCATCATTTCTTATAGTACAGCAGTATTCCATCACAACCACATACCACAACTTGTTCAGCCATTCCCCAATTAATGGGTGTTCCTTCAATTTCCAATTCTTTATCACCACAAAAAGAGCTGCTAGAAATATTTTGTACATATAGGTCCTTCTCCTCTGATCTCTTTAGATCTATATATACATATAGATATGTATATATATGTATGTATATATGTATATACCTATGTATATGTGTATATACATATGTGTGTGTATATATATCTATAGAAACAAATAAATGTATACAAAGTCAGCTATGTACAGGATAAACAGGAAAAAAATGAACAGAGAGTAAGCACTAGAATTAAAAGGGTTGGGGAAGGCATCATTAGCATTGAAGGCTTTGGGGAAAGAATTCTTGGAGAAGGAAGCCAGGGAAGCCTGGAGGCAGAGATGAGGAAGATCATTCCAGGCATGGGAGACAGCCAGGGAAGATGCCCAGAACCAGAGATGAGTTGCTTTGGTATTTGATCCTTGAGAGGGTAGGGAGCCCTTGGAGTTTATTGAATAGGGCTGGGGAGGGCGATGTGGCCAGACCTGAGCCTTTAGAAGATTAATTTGACAGTTGAGTGGAGGATGGGCTGGGGGAGAGGGAGAGACTCAAGGCAAGCAGACCCATGAGCAGCTCGTGCCACAGTCCAGGAGTGAGGCAATGAGGGTCTGCCCCAGAGTGGGGGCAGTGTCAGATGACAGAAGGGGATGGATAGGAGAGATGCTACTGGGGTAATACTGACTGGACTTGAGCAGCACATTGAATAAGAGGGCTGAGAGAAAGAGACTCCAGGATGACCGGAAGGACAGTATTGACCTCGACAGAGGAAAAGAAATTGAGAAAGGAGGAGAAATTGAAGAGGAAGCTAATTAGTTCAGTTGGAGACATGTTGAGGTTGAGATGTCTATGGGACATGTAGCTTGAAATGCCCCATAAGTATTTGGGAATGACCCACTGGAATTCAGGAAAAGTAAACGGAGGGGGTAGGGGGCAGAGCATTTGTATATTAAGAAGGGATCCTCATGAGGAGACATCTAGGAGCCAGAAGGAAGAAGCAGACAGAAAGTAATCGGGTGAAAATCAATGGAGGGAGAAAGAAAGTGAGACTAGATATGGAGACCTGGGGGTCATCAGCATGGAAGTGATCATTCAAACTCATGGGAGCTGATGAGATCATGTCCTTGGTCCCAGATTTGGAGAGGTCCTAGGGCACTCCCCCTCCACCCCTCTCCTCCTGCCTCTGTCTTCACTGGGAAGCCTGAATTCTCCTAGCAGCCAGATCTAATGAAGCTTTTATTCTCTCCCCAGTACCTTTTAATCAGAAGGCCCCCCCCGCCCAAGGAAAGGACAAATCACAACCCTGGAACTGCCCTGGATCTAGTCCCCAAGTTTTTCTCCGACTCCCAGGCAAATCTTGCTGTGATCTTATATCTCTGCCTCATCCATAAAATTGGAGTCTGTGTGATTATGGAAATACTGGTGCTGCCTAAGGTATGGCAAGTACATCATCTTTGTGGTGGTCCTAATTAGCATCAGAGGTTGGGTGTTGCCTTAGACTCACCCCACTGACTCTCTGTAGACAGGATCATTTCAGAGTCAGACAGTCAGTCAATCAACAATAATTTATTCAGCACTTACTATATGTAGAGTAGGACAACTAGGTAGTGCCCATAGAGCACCAGGACTGGAATCAGGAAGACTCATCTTCCTGAGTTCAAATCTGGCTTCAGATATGTGCTAGCTGTGTGACCCTGGGCAAGTCACTGAACCTTGCCTCAGTTTCCTCATCTGTAAAATGAGCCAGAGAAGGAAATGCAAACCACTCCAGTATCTCTGCCAAGAAATCCCCAGCCAATTAGTGCCCAAATTGTGTCCAACTCTTCATGACGCCATTTGGGGTTTTCTTGGCAAAGACATTGGTCCATTCATCCTGCTCTGTTTCCTCATTGACATGCCTATACCAAATACCGCCTTTCCCCCCTCCCCAAAGTATGAGAAGCAGAAAATGATAAGAGCTTCAGGATTAAATCAGAGAAAAAGGAGAAGATGAAGTCAAGAATCCTACAGTCACAGATGAAGAGAATCTTAGAGACCATGTAATCCAAGCCCTTCATTTTGCAGATGGGAAAACTGGGGCCCCAACTGGGGAACTGACTTCCCCAGCTTCCCACAGGGAGTTAAGAATGGACCTGGGACAGAAATCTAGGTCATCCTGGCTCCCTGTTGAGTGAAGGTTCTGACTGGGACAGCATTTTGCCAGAAATGAGGCGTGTTCGTAAAGGAGTGTGTAAGTTTGTGGGAAACAATTTGACAGGTGATTAGAATTGAGTGCCCCCTTTGGGATTCAGAAGACCAGGATTTAAATCACCCCTAGTTGTATGAGCCTGGGCAAGTCGCTTAATGGAGGATACTGAGCCTCAGTATCCTCATCTGTAAAATGGGAGCGATAATAGTGTTTTCGTGGCTGTTGGGAAGCTATGTGAGATAATGACTGTAAAACACTTTGCAAACCTTCAAGCCTGTATATTTGTCCTGGGGTGTGTGTGTGTGTGTGTGTGTGTGTGTGTGTGTGTGTGTGTGACCTGCTCAGGAAAAAAATCTTTTCCTTCTACAAAAAAGGAAAAGGATGGGACAGGACATCTCACCTATTCAAGTGAAAACTCCCTAGAGAAGGAAACCTAGTCTGCCCTACTCAGATTGGGGGCATTTTGAAGTGAGGGCCTTCTTCCCTTTCCTACATCTTATTTCCCCACAATTCCCAGCACAGGGAACTGTCCCTAGTGCTGAGGCCAACACTCCCCTGCAAGTAAGGGGAGATAGAATGAGAAGGACAAACCATTTGGGAGCATTTGCACACCATACTGGACCCTTCCTGATCATTGGGCTCCTATAAGGAGGATGGGGGCTGGTTTCTGATGCCCTTTATCCTGTCCTCACAGAACCGTCACCTGTCGTGGAGGGGAGCCTTTCTTCTTACCAGGGACCTCCACAGTGGGGCTAATGGAAGACAGTGCTGCCTACTACCATGCTTCCTTGAGTCAGTGAATGAGGGGCTGTGCTCATAATTATAATCCCATGCTAGAGGTGGGTTCTTGGGCTTTGGGCTTGGAGCTCATCACCTCTAACATAAACTCATGGGTCCAAAAGCAGAAGTAGGGGTAGGGTGAGGTGGGGGAATCAATCAGTTTCAATCAATTGATTCACCTAGGGTCTTACTTCTATGGCCTGAGTTGAGCTAAGTGTGGGCCCTAGGAGGTGGAAGGTTTGGATCACTGCTTGTCACAGGGGTAGGAGCTCAGCCTCAAGCCCCTTGAGCTCCATCTCATGGGTGGTTATCGATACTGGATTTTGGTAGAGGTCCTGCGGTCATATTGACTTTTGTCTTTCTCCCTTAGGTCCTGGATTAACCCCCTAGGATCCCAGTCCAGGACCAGGCAGCCCTGGAACTCTAGGCATGTGAAAAAAGTGCTTTTGAGGCCCATCTCAGTGCCATTCCTCAGTATCCAGTCGTCATCAGATTGAACCTCTTGACAAGCTCCCTGGGCAAGAAAATACTACAAGAAATGATGAAGAAGCAATCCAGGGTAGAGGTGGGGATGAAACTTCATGGTGCTGAGAGACATTCAGAGCAGTGTTGGGCTGTGCTAAGAAATCTAGAGGTACTTTAGACAGGTCATCAAGCCAGCCTGAGAGACCCCAAGTACTTCATCCCCAATTCCCAAGAGGCTCTAGCAAGAGAGAGGGCAAGGGGTGAGCCCCCATCCTAGGGGTGTCCTTACATTCTAGGTCCTAGGACAGATACTCTTAATATTTGGGGGATCATGGAGACCTTTGGCAGTCTGAGGAAACCTATGGACCCCTTCTCAGAATGTTTTTAAATGCATAAGATAAAATACATAGGATTACAAAGAAAATCAATTACATTGAAGTGTCACTTAAAAAAAAAGTTCTTGGACCACTTGAATCTAGAGGAACTGGACAAAAGGGAACCCAAAAAGAAGCCATCCCAGGGTGGTTAAGACCTACTTAGAGTGTTCTATTCCAGAGGAGCAAGGAGAGGGGATATACCATGATGGTAGATTCACCATCCTGACTGAAGGGCAGGAAGACTGGGCTTTCTGGGGGAAGACTCTGTGGGATCAGGGAGCCAAGATATTTTCCAGCCTCACTGACTCCCAGGGTAACCCCAGGGAACCATCCCCATGCCTCAGTTTTACCATCTGGAAAAACACCTTTCCCTTAGTGCTGTAGCCCTGACATCTCAACACCACCCACTTTGGTGAATTAGGGACAGGAGCAGCAAGAATGGGAGGGGTCTCATGGTTCCACACCCACCTGGATGTCCTAGAGAACACAGTACCTTTGTCTCTACTCTGAGGTCCTTTGGGAAACAGGGTGAGAGGGGCAGCTAGGTGGCACAGTGGGTAGAGCACTGGCCTTGGATTCAGGAGGACCTGAGTTCAAATCCAGCCTCAGACACATAACACTTACTAGCTGTGTGACCCTGGGCAAGTCACTTAACACCATTGCCTATCCAAAGAAAAGAAAGGAAAGGAAAAGAAAAGAAAAGAAAAGAAAAGAAAAGAAAAGAAAAGAAAAGAAAAGAAAAGAAAAGAAAAGAAAAGAAAAGAAAAGAAAAGAAAAGAAAAGAAAAGAAAAGAAAAGAAACAGGGTGAGGATAGAGATGACACAGACATTTGGGGAGGAAAGGGGAAAAGCAAAGGGGTGGATAGTGGCAGAACCAGGGTAAGAAAGAACTGAGAGTTATGAAATTCCAACTTTCCTTTGAAATTCCTAGGGTGTTAGCCCAAGATTGTTTTTTCCCTTCCTCTGACTCAAGGTCTGATAGGCCCTCCTACAGCTTAGACTAGAAGGGCTCGATCCTGTCCTGGTTCTCCCAGAGTGGAAGCTGCCTTTGCTCTCTCTCATGCTCATGACCCTTCTTTGATAACGTAAATCTCTCCTTTGACCTAACCTGCATCCTTCCTGTAGCATTTTCAACCCACATCCTCTCCTGCCTCTAGCCCAAAGTAGACAAAGAGCTTATCTCTGTTCTGGGAAGATTTCTCAATTTCTCAAGGTCAACTCTAAGGAAGGACTTCCTCTCTGGGAGGGCAATGGCTCTGCTGAGAAGGGTGGAAATTCAGCACTCAAAGAGGCAGAGGGAGGGATGTAATGACTTTTCTTTCCCTCTGTGTATCTCTTGGCCTTCCCATGCTTCCATGGATAGAGTCCTGAGTTCTCACACTAGCTACTATGTGACTCTGAAATAGCCCCTGCCCCTCTCTATGATTCAATTTGTCCATCTGCAGCATGAGAAAAGTCCCTTCTTGATGTCACAATCAATTAACCAACCAGTTAGTCAATAATAATAGCTAACATTCACGTGGTGCTTTACAATTACTCATTCTATCCTCACAAGAAGCCTGGGAGGTAGGAGCTATATTATTATTATTATCCCTATTTTGCAGATGAGGAGACTGAAGTTTAGACAAGCAACTTGCCCATAGTCATATAGCAAGGAAGTGGCTCAAGGTAGGATTTGATCTTGGGACTTCCTGACTCCTAGCCCACCACCCAGCTGCCTTGAATCAGTCAACAGGAACTTAGGAAGCTTCCCCTGAGTGCCTGGCACTGAGCCAGTCTCTAACTTTAGATGATTGTGGAGTAAAAAGATTTCAAACTGGATGGAATCTTAGAGATCCACTGGTTCAGCCATTCTCAAATTTTTTGGTCTTAGGACTGCTTTACACTCTTAAACATTATTGAAGGATACCCCCCCCAAGAGCTTTTGTTCCTGTGGTATATATACACTCATACACATACATATACATATATAACATATATTATAGAAATATATATTTGCCATATTAAAATTGAATTCAGTATTATTATGAAAATAATTTTGACCTCATGGGCTCCCTGGAAAGGTTTTGGGGACTCCCAGTTCACAGACCATACCTTGAGAACTGCTGATCTAGTCTGATTCTGTCATTTCACAGATAAGGAAACTGAGACCCAGAGAGGAAAAGGGTCTTGAACATAGGCACATCCTTTTTTTCCAATTCAATTTCACTTGTTTTTCCTCTCTCTCTCTCTTCCTATACAGACAGTGATCATATCAGGCTTAGTGTCCCTGGAACATTGGGGATGGCCCCCATTTTTCTCGGGCTTTTCCTAGAAATAAATTCATAAAGCATAAAGAATAATCCTTTGTCTAAGACCACATGCTTTGATGTTTGATTCAGAACCAGAGGCAACTAATTATGTCTCATTTGGTTCTCTCCATGGTCTTAGGGTTGGCAAGGACTCTGTACTCCCTGGATTGATTTTCTTAGTGGAAACAGGGTCTTTCCCACTCTAACCCATAGTTCTAAGGTCTCAGACCTATTTCTGCAGGGCTCTCCAGATAGACTAAGAGGCTGAGTCAGGAAAGGGAAACCACAATGGCATAACTCAGGGGGCTATAGGAAAGAAAGTCTCTCCCATGTAGCCTTGGGGATTCTGGTCCCACACTGGGTCCCAGGGAAGGACAACGGGGCTACACATTGGATGGGTTTCAGAGTTGGGAAGGGCCTCATCCTTCTTCTTGGATTGGCTTTCTCCTCAATCTTATTCAGATCTCTCCCGGGTGGGGAAGCACATTGTGTTCTACTCAGGTTTGGGTGGGGATAAATTCTTTGATCAGATCCGCTGGGGAGTGGTTTGGAAGTAAATGATCAAAGTCTCATCCTCAGCCTCTCATTAAAATAGTCATTCTCTCTTATTACTTGTTAATGCATCACAGTTGATTGCCACCCTCAGGAACACCCACTCTTTCAAGGGTATAAAAGTGTTGAGTGGGTTCCATGAAGAGTCTTTAGTGTTTGAGAGTTCCACCAACCCCTTTTATTAATTATTGCTAGCATGATTAATAAAATGATTACCCAGAAATTATGTCTCTCAAACTTTTTATATACCATAGTGCCATGTTTCTTCTTTATCTAGGTGGAAAAAGGCACATGAGAGCTTCATTTAGTGTTAGCATAGGACAAAAGGGGAAGTTTGTCTACCCTTTATTATATTTAAATGCTGAACAGCATTTTGTTTGTTTGGTTTTTTGGTCCATACCTGTGATTGGGAATTCCATAGTTTCCAGCACAGAATCTTCCTCTGATCCTGTAGATCAGCATCTCATTTGTAATTTCTAGTGTTAGAGAATTGTCTGAGTCAGTCGATCAGTCAATAAATATTTATTAAATGCCTATAGTGTGCCAGGCACTATGCTAAGCACTAGGGATACAAAGAATGGTGAAGGACAGTCTCTGCTTTTAGGGAGCTCACAGCCTAATGGCGGAGACAACATGCAAATAACCAGGTACAAACAAGCTGTGTTTAGGATGAACTTGAAAGCATCCACAGACAGAGAGCATTAGAATTAAAGGCAATTGGGAAAGAATTTTTGGGCAGCTAGGTGGCACAGTGGATAGAGCTCCGGCCCTGAAGTCAGCAGTACCTGAGTTCAAATCCAGCCTCAGACCAAACACTTGACACTTACTAGCTGTGTGACTCTGGCAAGTCACTTAACCCCAATTGCCAGAAAGAAAGAAAGAAAGAAAGAAAGAAAGAAAGAAAGAAAGAAAGAAAGAAAGAAAGAAAGAAAGAAAGAAAGAAAGAAAGAAAGAAAGAAAGAAAGAAAGAAAGAAAGAAAGAAAGAAAAGGAAGGAAAGAATTCTTGTAGAAGGTGGGATTTTAGCTGGGACTCGAAGGAACCAGGGAAGCCTGGAGGCAGAGGTGAGGAGGGAGAGCATTACAAGCATGGGGGACAGCCAGGGAAAATGCTCAGAGACAGAGATGGATGGTGTTGTTTGTGGAATAACCAGGAGGCCAGGGACACTGGAATCAAAGAATATGTGGGGGTAAACAAAGTGTAAGAAAGATAGGAAAGATAGGAAGAGTCTGAGTTCTGAAGGGCTTCAAATGCCAAACAAAAGATTTCTTGTTGATCCTAGAGGTGATAGGAAGCCCATGGAGTTTATTAAATGAGGCTGGGGAGGGTGATGTGGTCAGACCTACTGAGCACCAGGCACTGTGCTAAATGCTTTACAAATATCATCTCATTTAATCCTTACAATAACTCTGTAAGGTAGAGTTACTCCCCATCCTATCCTTATAAGTTTGCAAAACACTTTATATACATATACATGCATACATACATACATACATATATATATATATGTATATATATATGTGTATCTATATATATATATATATCTATATCTATATCTATATATATATATATATATAGATATAGATATAGATATAGATATATATATATATATATATATCTATCTCAGGTAGTGACTTTGCACTCATTCTCTAGTCAGGACAGAGAATTAACTCTTCCCTCCTCCTCAGGGAGATAGCA